GCTATGTGCAGAAGTCTATCCTTCGACGACGTCTGGAAAACCACGAATTACTGGAAGACCTTTAACCGTGTAAAAATTTTTGAAAAACTGAAGATCTGCTAGGTTTCTGACATTCCCACAAATCTACTACGGAGCATGGAGGCGCGCAAAATCAACACTCTCGCTCTTTCGAAATAACGAACAGAGAAGCGGACAACTTCCAAGGCAACCAACAGTAATCCGATCATCAGCTTAACTGATCTCTGTCACAGCAACAATAGAAAAATCGGCAGGTACTTCGATGGCGCGAAGCGAAACGGCAGCTGACTAAACTGTCTAAGCAGGTACAGAAAGTACTCAAAAAATAGCAGGCTGCGGATTAATTTTGCCACCAACATTTCCCAAGAGTTCCAAAATGTCTCGCTCGTAAGATATTTTTATAACTCAAGGCTTTAGAAATATTCTAAGTGCCGGAGAACTGCCACAGAATAAAGTCCTCAAAAACAATGGTTTTCTGCAACCACAACAATATCAAATTATATTTCATATATGCTTTATTGCGAACAAATAAATCAACTGCAACAACTTATAACAACGTAGAAAAATACAACTTTCGAACGTCAATTGTGATTATTTGGATTTCCGGCTTTACAAAAAGCAGCGATATACCAAGGAGGAATGAAAAACTCAAAAAAGCGGATTTCGTCTATTTGCATTTTTGATTTTAGCATAGCCAATGGAATTTTCCGGAGAGCTGAAGATAACAACAATCAACGAATTCAATGAAGCATGTGAGATCATTCTTCTTATCGCATTATCAATAGCCACTACTGGCCTTACACCTCTCTCCAACGCCAGCTTTGCGATATCAAAATCAACCATAACAATATTGTGATTAATCACTTCTCCACTGATACGACGCACCAAGTCTTCAAACACAACGTACTCATCCGTGTCGATGTAATACTCACTGCAAAGATCAGCAAAACTTGGCTTTTTTGACAGCAGCATTTTTCGGAAACGACGTTTCAATATAGCGTATAACTTCCGCAACATAAATAAACTGGTTTTCCCGAGAAAACAATGTAGAATCTTATTTGAGTACCTCAAATACCTACTAAAGCTAGTACTGCATATTCAAAACTTGCCACATTGTTACGAAAGGAAGAAGGAAACACCCCCTTAAAATATCAGCTTTCCAGGCTCCTGAGTTACCTACTTGCTTTCGAGTAAGTTGGTAACTCAGGAGCCAGGAAAGCTAGAAAGCTGAAATTTTAAGGGGGTGTTTCCTGACAGTTCTGG